CCCTGACCCCTCTCCCCTCTCCCCTCACCCATCCGCCTTCCTTCTCTCCTTCGACAGATCTTTGTCCCTCACACAGGTCTTCACAAACGATCGTCTCTTTCTCCTATGAATTATTTAAAAAACGCCGCGTCGAAACGCGTGCCGCGCCTGCCAAACTGGTCCGACGACACTATCTCAACGTCGGGATCTTAAAAAATACGAACGATTTTTGCCACGTCCTGGCAGTCTCTCATCCTCGGAATTTTGCGCCTACCGCAAACAACGCTCTCACTTTTTTTTTCTTCCCTTCGTGAACCAATATTCCTTTTTTTTTTTCTTTTTTTTTTACATGGAAATAACAGTATATATATATGTATTTTTTTTTTTTCAAAAATATCAATCATAAAACGATAAATAATAGACAAATATTTATTATTTAAAATTCAAACAAATGTGTTATTACGTATTCAATTAATTAAAATAATGATCTTATTTAAACGACATACGAAATAAATTAATGTCGATCAATGATAGATAATCTGTGTAATAAAAAAAAAAGAAGAAGAAGAAGGTTTTTTTTTAAATTAACATTTAAAAGATAAATGTTCTTTCAGAAATGAGCATTTATTTACCTGGAAGCTTTTTATAGTTTCCTATTGGCAAAGGTAAGCTCGTTATTCAAGAAATTAACCATTCAAGATCTTCTTCTTCTTCATAGGATCGACCGATCTAGATCAAGTAATTAGAAGCACGCGCGATGCCGCTCCGGCAGCTGTCAGCGATCCTACGATAAGCTAATTCAAATATTTCGAATATAGCTCTTGCTACCTTGTAACTATAAGCAGGCAGATGCGAATTTAACGATAAAGAGACAAGGGCTGCTAAAGTTTCATACAAAATATACGGTTTTATGTGTTGAAATTAACATTTCATATCAAAGACGACTTTGTTGTTGTGTCGTGTTGTGTTGTGTTGTGTGTTGTATTTGGTTTCTTTTGTCCTTACTTATTTTTGTTTTTTGGAAGGTACACACACGTTTGATTGGAGTAAAGAATCGCATTGACCACTCGACGATAGTGGGAGTGTCGTATAGAACAAGTAGTAGTAGTAGTAGTAGTAGTGGGAGGAGGAGGCAAATAGGAGTGAATGAGAAGGAATGTAAAAAAAAAAAAAAAAAAAAAAAAACATTCCGGATTTCCGTAGAGACTACTGCCGTTCGTACTTCTCGCCTGCAGCCAATGAAAGGATTCGCTGGTGTCGCGTCGTCGAACGTCCTTCTTTTTACTCCCCGCCCCCTTACTCCCTCCTCCCCCTTTTCTCTTTTCCACGCTTTGTGTCGAACGTATCCGTTCCATACACACTGTCCCGAATAACGCACACGCGATAAAAGTGTCAAACGCGTCGTGTGGGTTCCTCCTCCAATGGTGTTGCCAAAAAGTTCATACTTGTTCAATCGTAGATACAAATAAACTTTTATTCCAATTGTTTATTCAAATAAACCGATCGAATTAGTTGCAACTGTTTGTTCTTTCATTTAACAGTTACCTTGTCACAGACAGGATTAATAAAGAGTGTGTACAAATGGTTTATCAAAAAATAATCATAAGATTTATTTTATATTCTTTTTTTTTCTCTCCATGATTTTTATAGATGCAATAAAAACTCAATTCGCTACTCGTTTTACTACACTCTATCTGCTATCCTATCGTTTACTTAATTACTTATTCAATCACTTTTGTGTATTTTTATAGTATTTCAACTTATTTTGCAAGATTCGTTTAGCTTATTTTTTAGATTTTGAATTCGTTAACACATTTATTAAGAGTGAGAAATTGAAAAGATCAGTTATTAGTCTGTGGTAAATGACAATTTTGTAAATTTGAGTTATAAAAAAGTAATCCTCGTCATTCAATCGATTTAAAAAATTAATGAAGGTTTTTAAAAATAGAAAATACTTAGAAATAGAAAAACGACGAAGCAAATGACAATGAAAGTAAGACAAATGTTTTCTATTTACATTAAATAATAAAATAATAAATGAAACCGTTAAAAAGTTTCTCAACAATAACTGATTCCAACTTCCTTTTGATTCGTTTATAATGGCAACCGATGGTTGGTACCTGCGGTTAGTCCAATTTCGGTTACACTTAAAAAAAAAAAAAATAAAAAAAAAAAAAACTCGTTATAATCGCAGCGTGAACACGCACCGAATAAAAAAAAAAGAAAACTGTTAACTTACGATAGAATTCGTTGGATATCGATTGTAAGTGTCAGAATTTAACTGTGTTTTCTAAAAGCGATATGCGGGATCATCTCTTAAC